TTTCTGTCCTCAACCTTAATTATCACATTTCGTTCAGACAGTTTCCATCCAAATAGTTTCCATCTAAAGGAGCCACTAAAAAGGGTCTTTGAACATTAGTATGGCAGCTCTTATACCCTAACATGCTGAGACACATCCCACAATTTACTCCCTCCACAATGTTCTAAGGAAGGGGAGGGGAGGGGAGGCCCCCTCAAGGTTGAAATTCAACCTTTAGATAGGGTCTCTAGACTTCAAATTTACTCTTAAAAATATTAAAATGGTTCACTCGCTGTTTTCTCAAAACTCAATTTTAACTACACATTCATATAATAAAATATTTTACATGTAAATCTAAAAAAAATTCCTACTTTTTAACCACACATTTTTCAAAAAATCACTGTTCCAAAATTTATTTTCACCTACAAAACTCTTTTTAACGTTTGTCAAACGAGGGCTAGTAGTCGTTTGAAAATATTAAGTTATTTATTAACAATTATACTACATGTACAAACGTGGTTTACAAAGTGTGTTGACAAAATGATGTGGCAAAAATTTAAGTTATTGATTTCAAAAACTGTTTTTTAAATCATTAGTCAAGATGTTGCCAACATGTATCTTGTAAACCAATTTTGTAACCTAATTTTATACAAATAGCATGACTCATTCATTAAAAATCGTTTGAAAATATTAAAATACATATAAAAAGAAAGCTTTTCTGCCTCACCAGCTTCAACACCACCTGACCACCACCATCAACAAGGACGGAAGGAGGGGGGATAGCTCTTCGCTTTAGCCCAGGTCTGTCTCTAGTCCGTTTGATTTTGAATGCTGCTTCACGTACAGGCAGCAGGTTCACAGGGGACAGCCAGACATCACACAAAGATGGGGCCCGCGTAGCACTTTTTTTTTTTAAATACATGTGGGGCCCTCCAACAGTGAGGGGCCTGTAATAGCCCTGTGAACCATTTTTCTGTAAATTTAGCTTCATTCAAATTACTTTGTTTTACTAAGTTCTATCGGTAATCACTGATAGTTCCACATTTACCGATGAGTCACAAACTATGACACAAGCTTTTGAGCTCCAGCAAATAAAAAAAATTGTCTACGAAACTTTTTACCCTGAAATTTTGGCATTAGGGATGGAATTCTTCATCACTAATACCTGGTTTTCTAGTAGTAACTGTGTTGGTTGGTTGAGCCTGTTATTTCAGGTCATTTCTTTCATGTTAAGTTGGTTTAGTTGGTTGTTGGCATATAAATATCTTAGGAACAAAGTAAAAGTACAAATTTCATTCTTAAATCAACTCAGCTACAATAGAACTCCAGTGTCAAAATGAAGTGATTTCTGTGCCTTCTAGCAGGAAAAAGCAAGAAGCAAAGTGCCTTTAGCCAAAATTTCAACAGGTAGTTGCCCTGTCACCTTTCTTAAGTTAAAGAATAATGAATAAGCTAAACTAAACACAAGCGCCTTATACACAAGGCGCGCATACATGCATTTATATCTTGTAATCCTCCTGTAAATAGCTTTTGTAATGTGTTCCTCTCAGCGTCTTCTCAACATCCCCCCAATTTTCAACCTGTGACGATAAGGACCCCCTGTGTATCTTCACCTGACGACTATTCAGGTTCCTTCGTGGAACCTTTAGAAAATCCTGAACGTCCATCAATTTCTGAAGAGAGAGAGCACACAAAAAAATTTAGAGCAGCACAAAAAATGGACGTTTTTTTTCTGCCACGTGATATTAGATGTCTTACAGTTTCGTTCTTTATTATGTCCTCATAGTAAATGATCATACGTCGAGTGCTTTTGAAATATTCTAAAGATTTCATAACCATCTCGTCCACCTGCCTCAGATTGGGTATCAGCAATGTTGTATTGAGTGTAGGTTTATATCTAGCAAGTATCTCGGCCTGCAAAAAGAAAGTGTAGTTTTACTTTCAAAATATAAATATACACGTGCTTCTTTCTTTTTCACATATATGTGGCCCAGGAGGGTGAGGGCATAGCTAGAGATACGGAGAGAACAGTATGAAAGATAAGTACCTCGTGGGTTGAATGAACATGAGATTTGTGTGTCCCGTTCAGCAGTTTAGCATTCTGATCATAGGTATTAGCAAGTATTGAAATCATCCGGCGCAAAAGATTTCTTCTGAAGAGAAAAATTGCTGAAACACCTTTAGTATTGAAGTATTCCACTATCTCTTCATGGTGCTGCATTAAACCCTGCAACAATTCAGAAAACATTAAGGAATGCCTTGGCTATTTTGTTCCCAGATACAGAGTAATCCTTGTGAGTTTACAGTTGGAAGATCAGTACGTTGTAACAGCCAGAAGCAAATCAAAGTTCTAATGCAAACGTGTATTCAATTGAGACTTTTAATGACTTTTTGGGATTTAAAAAGTTTAGGGGTATTCAATGCAGACTTTTGGAGACTCTCTAAAAGTATTATTGTATTCAATTGAGAATTTTATAAACTTTTAAAAAGTCTCTAAAAGTTACGGTGTATTCAATTAAAACTTTTTAGAAGTCTCTGTAAGTTTTGAGGTATTCAAATTTTTATGAATTTTAGAGACTTTTATAAAAGTCTCCACGGTACTAACTTTTAAGCAAAAAGTACTTAAATAAAATTTCAAAATTTGTCTTTCATTAATCACAAGATTTTGGGAGACTTTCACAAAAAGGAAAAAAAAAAATTATGTTTTTTTTTCAATATTTCACTTTCCTTTTCCATTCTACAAACATTAGAGTTATGATTAATTTTTTTTTATTGATTGTATTAGTGTCTATTTCTCTCTCCCTCTCCCTCTCTCTTATTGTTTATTTCTATTTTCTATGAAAAAAATTAAATTGTATTTTTATAACTTTTTTTTTCTTTTTTCATTTATTTTTTCTGAAAAATATCTATGTTTAATTAAATTATAAAATTTTATATAGATTAATTTATAATTAAATTTAAATATATTTTTTTTATCTATTCTTTAAAGGTATATT